AGTGTAGTGTAGTGTAGTGTAGTGTAGTGTAGTGTAGTGTAGTGTAGTGTAGTGTAGTGTAGTGTAGTGTAGTGTAGTGTAGTGTAGTGTAGTGTAGGTAGGTTTGGCTAGCGAAACGTGATCGTGGTACGGGGTGCTCTGTACGGAGTATATGTATCTATTATGCCTATTCATTTCTGGTTCCTGGTTCCTAGTTGCTGGTTCCAGGGTTCGCGGTTGTTTTGAAGCTCGTAGTAGGCCGCGATGAGCGATGATCTCGACCCGCAAGATTTTCGTTCGACCTCTCTCCTTCCATATGATCCCACATCGTGCTTCGACAGGAACAAAAAGGAAACCATATACTCCATACAAGTGAGGACAACCGCTCTTCTTCCAGTCGATTCGTCTGGGATCCATCTACGATAGAGCCGGGACCGCAGAGTCATTCTTCCGGTGGCCCGCCACAAGAGGCAGTGGCGGGAGTTCCTTCAACGCCCTCGTCCCGACTGCAGTGGTGTTTTGGTTCCGGGAGACGTCCATGCCCAAGCCGCTATCCGCCCGGTCTCTGAGCCTCTTTCTGCTCTGCTCGTCCTCGTCGCTGCTCTCGATGCGTGCTTTGACGCTGATTACATTCACAAACTCGACGCCGTTGACCAACATTACGCCGTTCTCATCCATCCCTACTCTGCTCGAGGGTTTCCGCGTGAGGGAAAGGCTTGGACGATGCTTTGAGGCGGTCTTGGAAAACGAGAATGTTCGGGTGCGGGTGTGCGTGCCGGTTGCGGATGGTGATCTGGGACGCGAGGGCGATGTGGTAGGCTCCTGCGAGGCTGCTGCCTTGGAGTGGTTTCCGGCTCGGGGTTTGGGGCGTAGAAGAGGAATCGGGTCGATGATTGATTTCGAACGAGCCTTTGTCTTGTTGCTGCTTGCTCTGCTTGCTGGTCTCAGCCCAGAGAAAGAAGTCGACGGACGAGGCAATGTAGGGGCTCCCTCTGGCGCGGGTGAGGATCCTGAGACTGATTTGGACCGTTTCAGCAACGTTGTTCGAATGCCGAACGCCTCTGCAACAGAAGCCGAGAAACTCTTTCGTGGTTTGATCTCCTCTTCTTCCGCCTCGGAGATGGGACTGACCGCAAGATTCTCGCGGTCAGTAGTGGTTGAAGCACGAGATTCCGAACACAAAGTATCCGAGCTACTCATGCTCGACCAGATTCTGTCATGGTTCTGCTTGGCCGTTTGGCCGGAACTGACGCTCGTGCTCCGTGATCGTGGGCGGGCCTTCGACCTCGAACCGGGGCGATTGTGATGGGGGCTCGCGAGCGCCTCTGCTTTGGACTTGGGAATGTTGGGGGCAGGACAGGCGCCCAGGCGTTCACTGGAGTAACTGTGCGACAGTGTCTTTGTATGTGTCTTGTTCCCGCTCACCAAGATGGACTTCAGTGGTGGAGCAGGGGATTGTGTGCGTGTGCTGTTCTCTAGAGATGACTGGATCGAGAAGCAAGTGTGGTAAGCCAGGTCAATGAGCTCGGTATGATCTCGTGAGTTGAGCATTCGATGACACCAGGTAAGGGTCCAATTCAGATTGCTCGAAACGCGGGAGTTCGCCGACCTGGACCTTGATCTCGACCTTGAGGGCGAGTGGGACTCTGACCTTGACCCCGTCGCTGGTCTTGTAAACAGAAATTCTCCGCCATTTACGTCCCAGTCACCTCCGGCCAGTGCATCACCACTCCCAAAACGCCGGACAATCTGCCACGCTGACTTGACAGCGCCACCCAAGAGGGAGTGTTCGATATACCCTGGTGCCTTGGTCCCCATAGACAATGTGCGGTGCATTCCCAGAATGTCGTACAGCTGTGTTGATGGATCAGCATAAATGTCAAAGGGACATTGTGTGAGGCTCTTGTAGGAGGAGATCAGGCTGGGCTGTCCAGGACCAATAATTATGACACTCGGAAGAGTACGATTTGCAGGCTTGGAGAAGTTTGTCGTCCACGTCGTAGATGTCGGCTTGAGAGATGGATGAAACGGCGACTGTGCTGAAGATAGCCTGCGGACGTATTCCTGGCAATTCCCGCAGAAGAAATGTCGAATGAAGATTACTAGTATTCTTTTCTCGGCTGGATAGACGTCACAATCGTAGAAGAGGGAGCCGAATTTAAGAGGTTTGCCTGAGGATGAGTAGATGTCATGTTCGAAGGCCACTCTGAGGGCGTGGTTATCCGGAGGCATTTCGACGGACATGTTGGTATGTCTGGAAGCTGTATCTGCTCTTTGATGACCGGTCACGGTTCAGCTCGAAGGGTTACTCCGTACAGAGGTAAATGTAAATCTGCAGTCACCTGGACTTGCTGCAAAGAAAGGGAAAACGGCCTGCCGCTGGAGTGTTGTTCAAGAACTAGACGCACAATCAAAGAAAATGAAGTTGGATAAAGAGCAATTCGATGATACCTTTGCGCCTACGAGTACATACGGAGTACGCTGTGTTGTGGTGCACGAGCACCAGACTCATCTCATGACGACGGTTGCCGCCAGGCTGAATGTTGGTTTCCACTGTGAGTCCTGTTGTTTCCCCTTGCAGGCGAGATGCCCATTCACGGTGGGTTTACTGTCGGATCATAACTGATGCGAAACCCTGGCGTGCACGTGTCCAAGGAAACAGTTGAACAAAGACTGTGTCGGCTACCCACTTATGGTCGAGGGCCATGGAGATGGGTGGACGGCTGGTGTGCTCGAGGAAGGGGAAAGGGGCATCTCGACTCATGAAGCGTGTCAAAGTGAGTGTTTGGGGCAACAACCTTCTGCTGGCGCGGCTGGGGACGCGTTTCAGGTGTGTCCTAGCCTCCTCGCCTCCTACTGGTGCTACTGTTTTTGGGCTAGGCACGAGTGGCACACTTGCCGCGGCACGCCCACAGAGTACGAGTACTCTTTAGGGGGCCCCGCTCGCCTGTCTCGTGACGACTAACCATCTTCGATCCCCAATGGCGCTTCTGACTTGCCAGGCTTGTCCTCCTGCAGCTCACATTGCACTGAGAAAGTGCTCGATTCCCCTTCATTCCAGACCGCGAAAACACCACACTCAGTGCATCGACAGATAGGTCATGGTACTGAATAGATAAACTTTTCGACTGCCCTCTTGAAGCGTCCAACTACGCGCGAGATCGCCTCATGCTCTGCAATGCTATCGAGGAAGATGCCTGAGAACAGCATTCAGATGAACGGGGTTTCCGTTGTCTGTTCAAGGAGTGTCTGAGTTATCTCGCTGTCGGTTCAAAAGAGTGTAAGTGCTGTATGGCAACATAGAGAATCATCAAATTTCACGTTCAGTCTCAACCCCACGGCCACCGTCCACGTTTCTCAACAGCTCTGCTTCCGCCTCCCACAATCCATCACCTCGTCCACACTGCTAGAAGCATGCGACCTCCAACAAAACAAGCTAAAGGATAGCGGAGCTATTCATCGCGTCCCAAGAATCTCGACGAGTTGCTGGCATGCTCTCGCCACCGTCCTCACCTTGATCCATCACCTGCTGCCTCGGAGAATGTCCTCGTCAGCTGCACCTTCCTGCGCATGGCAAGGCCAAAGCCCCTCCGGAAGTCCACACAACGAGGTGTGCTGCCATGCTGGAAGCGGTTTGGTTGTCAATCCGCCGTGGTAGTCTAACGCTGACTCGAGGTTGTGCCTTGTCCGCTACTGGTGGTGGCCAGGAATGACGTTGACTCGGCTCAGACTTGGGTCTGGTCGAATAGGACTGCTGTCTCAATGACTGTAGTCAATAATCCAATGCTCAAACGAGCTCAGCATTCGGCTTATGTCGTCGTCAGTTCCTGTCCATATCAGTCGTAGCCACCACCGACTTGGCTTGCAAATGCAGTAGAAACGCTCCTGGCATCTTCATCTTCCTGCATACCCTTGCCCAATTTGTGCTTGGCCATGTAACCGCCGGTTGCAGGACCATTCTCCACATACCTCTTTAAGCGGTCGGCCTGGTTATAGCTGGGCTGCTTGCCGTTGCCATGTATGGAGAGTTGATCCAGGCTGACTCCTCCTTGTCCGAGGATACTGCCAGTGATGTCCGATTCAGTCGCCACTGTAGACTCGCCTGCCACACTACCTGGAACTGGTCTTGGCTTCACTCCATTCTGTCGGCGAGAACCGGCGTTCTGATTCTGAAGAGACGGCCATGGTTCAGGCGTGAAACCCTGGAACATTGGGGGATAGCCGGCCGGCACGCCAACTCCACCCATGGCAGAAGAATGGATAGATGATACATCATCCGGTATGTACCCGACAACCGAGCCCGCTGCTTCGCGGAAATCGTTGCGTGGGGCTCCACGACCGTTCAGCATGCCACTGGCCATGTGGCTTGCGTGATTGTACGCCATCTGATAGCGCTGAGGTCCACGATAAGTCTGCTTCGGTCGGCTAAACTGGTGCAGCGAAACCTGAAGATTGTTAAGCGGGCCTTCGACCAAGCAGTTGCGCTCCTTGAAGTGGAGCAAGAGATAGTGCCAGAGCGGATGCTTCGACAAAACCTTGGGGTTCCCAAGGATGACAAACCCGTACTTGGCCCGGGTCATGGCGACATTGAGACGACGTGGGTCACTCAGAAAACCAATACCCTGGTGATCATTAGATCTCACGCAAGACAAGATGATGAAGTCCTTCTCTCGTCCCTGGAACGCGTCGACGGAGGCGACCTCAACCTCTTTGTACATTTCTTTCTTGAATGTGCCTGTCGATTGCATGGAACTGACGATGTAGCTGCGCTGTCCTTCGTATGGGGTAATAACACCAATATCTGAAGGCTTGACGCCAGCTTTGAAGAACCGGCTGACGATTTTTTCGACGTTAGTCGCTTCGGTGCGGTTAAGGTATGAGGTACCAGAAGCCGAGATTTCTTCATTTCCAAGGTTGGACCAGAACATCATCGGGTCGTCCTGAACAGGCCATGGGAAGTCCACGTCCCTTCGAGTGCGGGATTGCATGGTCACGCCATTTTGCAGAGATCCCTCGTAGAACATGTTCGACGGGAACTCAGACAAGCACGGATGCATACGATATTGAACGTTCAAGCGAATCGGAGCGCAGCCCAGCGCCACCAGCCGCTCGAACAGAGACTGATTGAGCCCAGCCTTGGCTGCTTTCTTGTTCATAATGACAGGTCCAAGCTGTTGGTGGTCGCCAACAAGGACAACTTGTTTGCAGCCCAGGACCAGAGGAATCATGCACTCGGGCTCGGCAGACTGGGTGGACTCATCAATGAGGACCGTTCTGAACTTGGATTTGGCCAGTCTGGGATCTCCGGCACCAACACAGGTGCAACAAATGACGTCGGCATTCTGAAGAATTTCTCGTTCGGCTGCACGGGTCAATGACTTGTATTTCTTCTCGTCCTGGCTGGAAAGTTCCCCCAGCTCGGATTTGAGTTGGTTCAATTTCGTCAACTCGACATTGCTGTCATTCATTCGGACCTGCTCGTGCAAGGACAGAAACCCCACGGTTGACTCCACGTCTTCTCGGGACTTGGCCGTAACCCTGACAGTCTTCAGACCGGTTCGGTGAATGCGTTCACACAGTTGGTCTACGGCGACGTTGGAAGGAGCGCAGACAAGAACCTGACCGCCATTGATTTTGGACAAGTGGTAGATGATCGTGGCGGAAGTGACAGTTTTACCAGTACCTGGCGGACCCTGGATCAAACTCAAGGGCTTCTGTAGAACAGACTTGACGGCGTTTATCTGACTGCCGTTAAGCTCAGGCAGACCAGGCACACTGAATTTCTTGGGCAGCTGTGTCTTCATTGGGGCAGCCGCAACTTCATGGCCAAGCAAGCGGTGAAAGATATAGCCCGAGACGCTCAATTCGTCGATCGCAAAAGTTTTCATGGCCAGCTGCATGCGGTCAAAGGACGTTGCTTTCCAGACGTAGTCGGCCGTGAAGTTATGGGTGCATTCGGTCGGGACGGATTTGTGGTCGCCTTTGGATCTCAATTCAATGGTGACTTCGTCGGACTGGTTGTTGGGGATCTTGATAACATAGCCAACGCCTTCCCAGGCCGGTCGCAGGTCGCCGGAGTATTTGAGGCGCATCTCGTCACCCACAGCCAGTTTGACATCGCCCAGTTCAAGTTTGGGTAGAACAAAACTTGCCAGGTGCTTGTTATTCAGGCCAAGGTCCCAACGGACTACCAAGTTGTCTTGTGATTGGCTCTCCTTCAATTTGCGATCGTAGTCGGCTTCGATCTTAACCAGCGGTCCAAAGACATTCTGGTACTGGTACGCGTCCTCGTACCGGAGCATAACCGGCGCAGGCTCATCGTCGATATTGGCGGCTTTTTCGAGATCGGTTATGGTAGCGTTTGCATTTTCCTTCCACAGTTCTTCCAGCTTCGCAATCATTTGAGGGCTCAAATGCCGGGCTCGGAGCTGCTCCTGATCAGTGGGTTGTGAGACCAGCCAAGATAAGAAGGAACGATCTTCGATCAACGGCTGCCATCTCGAAGTGTCCCAGTTCATGTCCTTGGATGAAGGCATCGCAGCACATGGTTGGCGGCACAGCAGAACCACCACAGTGTCTGACTTCGCAGGGATGAAGCCGAGTAAAAAGACATTTTTCGTGCCGCAGTTGTAGCATTCCAGCACAGTATCACCCAGGGAACTGCTGGGGTGCAACTGGACTTCTTTGTGGCGGGCTCGCACGAGGTGATTGACAATATGGGAAGAGGAAGTGTTTCCGCGAGCGCTGCAAAACCACTTTGAGCATGTCAAACACCGGACAACGCTGCTGGGGTTGTGGATACCACAGTAGCTGGAGGTCTATCAGTATCGCGCTGTCGGAACAGAAGAAGGGAGGGCATCATACGCGCAGGCATGAGCAGGCAACTCTTTGACTTCCTCCGGTTTTGGGACCTGCTTCTTTCCGTCTGCATCGACCGCGGCCGAAGCCAGACTCTCGAGATCGTCTTCCTCGATGCTATCGGTTTCGTCATCATCGTGCTGGCGTCTTCTCGGGCCCTTGGCCAGACTGAGAACGCTCTCATCGGGGTCGACGGTGGAAATGTCATCACTGGCATTGATCGCAGCGGCGGAGTTGGAAACCAAGTGGTTCCCCATGTTGCTGAAAGCCTCCATCTTGAATCAGAAGCCTATCTATCGTCCTAGGGTCGCGACGCTGGGTAGTATGAAAGGGTAACGGGGAAACGGGGCGAGGGTGACAGATTCGGCGCAATTGCAGGTATACACCCAGATTTCACCTGAACGCCGCTGCCTCACACCCCTCCGACAATCTCCAGGTCCCAACAGTGAGTAACGGCCTGTCGTAACACATGCGCCGGTGCGTCGAAGAGCCTTGCTGCTGTGATGAGAGGGCGGAAGAGGGTTCGTGAGGGTTGCAAGAGCGACCGGGCAAAGAGTGGGCAGTCGCAGCCGGATAAATCGCGGCGAAATTCTCCATCAAAATTTACGAGGAATTTGGGATGCTTGTTCTTCTGCTGTTGCTGCTCCTTCACTTCGCTGCGATCTTCTCCCCAGTCGACAGCATGATCCGGCGACAGGCGCGTGAGCGCCGCGACTATCTCTATCGCCGTGCAATTCAACTGCGAGATGCTAGCATTGCAGAGAAACGGGCGCTGCTGAAAAAGTCCCTGGCTACTGGCAAGCCGCTCGACCCCTCCATCGCCAACGACAAATCTCTACGCAAGGATTTCAAGTATGACGAGTCTCTCGATCCGGAGACAGCGGCCGCCAAAGAGTCCCTCGACGACGAGTACTCAATGCTTTCTGGGTTAGCCGATCCCCGGCCACTGGTAACCACTTCCCGCAGCCCTTCCACTCGGCTCGCGACGTTCTCTAAGGAGATCCGCCTGCTCCTGCCCACGTCAATACGTCTGAACCGAGGAAATCTCATCCTTCCGAACCTGTTGGCGAGTGCGAAAGCTGCTGCGCTTACCGACATCATCCTTCTTCACGAACACAGAGGCACTCCAACCGCCATGACCATCTCTCATTTACCACACGGTCCCACTGCTTCCTTCTCCCTCCACAACGTCGTACTCCGAGCAGACATCCCGGATGCGTCGAGAGGCACAGTCTCTGAATCATATCCGCATCTTATTTTCGAAGGCTTCACAACCCGACTTGGGAAGCGAGTGGTTCAGATCCTCAAGCATATTTTCCCGCCCCGAGAGGGGCCGCACAAGGTCGGCAACAGGGTCGTCACCTTTAAGAATGTTGAAGATAGCATTGAAGTCCGCCACCACGTCTTCGTGCAGACTGGATACAGAGATGTCGAGCTGGCAGAAGTGGGACCTAGGATGACCATGAGGTGCTTCGAGATCAGAGGAGGAACCCTGGAGAAGAACTCAGGTGGTGAAGTCGAGTGGGCTTTGACGCAATATACGAGGACTAGTCGAAAGAAGGACTACCTATGATAGGATGAAGCCAATAAGACTCAAATGGCAAGCACCAAATACGCTGTGCGAGAGGTCTAGCAACCAAGCACATGAGTTGTGGATCCGGGGCCTGCTGCTTTTGACGTTAAGGAGCACCACGAGCACAGCGCACCATCAAAGCAACGTCTAAACTGTCCTCAAAGATCAGACGGGTCGTCAGTTCTTCACCATCCCTCTTCCGGCGTCATCGCTCTGGCTTCCATCTGGTCTCTGGCGGTCAACGAGCTGGCATTCACAACCACCGTAACAGTCGGGCTGCTCTCCCCGCTCTCAATGGATGCCGTCGACCCTCGATCTGCTCTGGGTGTTTGCCCTTTCGCAAGTGCCGGCTCCAACACATCCCAGTATTCATCTTCGCCAGGGCCGTCCCCTCCACCAACTCTCTCCTTGAGGATCTGCTCGAGCTTGAGGCCCTTCTTCCATCCATTGTGGACATCAGTCCATTCGAGCCCGACCTTTTTCTTAAAGAACTTGGAAAACATGGCCCATGCGAAGTCGAAGGTGCTGCCAGCGGGCACCAGTGTCTGAACGTGACGAGATCCTGGTTTGGTGTACACAGTATACGCGGCATACGACTTTTTGCGCAACTCTCGTAGATCGCGGTGGTGTATGGCGCTGGGAGCCGAAGGCTGCTTGGGGTTGCCGGATAGTGGGACGGCCGTGGGTTCTTCGGACACAAAAAGCTGCAGACTCTGAGCCCATGGATCGGGAATGGGCACGCGCAAGTTGCGGTTGGCGGATGTGAGCTGGCGTGGCAGAGAACTTGCGATGCAAGGATAGAGGGAATATGGGTAGGGCTTGGGGAAATAGTACAAGGGTACTGGGCATGGTGGCAGTATGGGATCCTCCAGAAGCAAGCCATCCGTACTCGATTCACGGGCGTCTGATTGATACAGCATGCGCTCGGAAGGAGTCACGCTGTCATCGGACTTCTTGCGTCTCCGGTCGACGTCTTGGTGGGAGATTGGGATGAAGGTCTCGTGACAGGAAGTGAAAGAAGGTGCATAACGCACCTTGATTCTATGCTTCTCCACGCGATTTTTCAGGATGTCCTTCCGCACCAAGGTGAAGAGGTACACGAAGCCGCTCTGGTCGGTGAAAGGTCGGTAGCCTTCTGTTCTCGCTCAGCATTGGGCATGATGACAGTGGGATGTCCTCTAGCGGCAACAGAATGCGAACTTACGCTTTCCCATGATCTTTTCGAATTCGATACACGCCTCGTCGAATTCCTTGCCTGTCCAAGTCAACTTTCGACGACACAAAGTGATCCAGGGGCTCCAGGGGTGATTATCACTTACCAGCTCTCTCGACTCTTTCGTTCTTGCTTCGTCCCTCGCCCTCCACGTCTGGTGACTTCCGCGTTCTGGTCCGCTTCGCCAGCTTCGGCTTCTTCGCCTCGTCATCGCCACCGTCCATGCAGTCGTCTTTCCCCCGTTTGCGCTTTATCCCGCCGCCACACCGTTCCTTTCGCTGCTCCCACTTGTACGGCGTGGGATCGAGAGGCTTACCGGACTTGCTCAGCAGACTATCCTCAAGCCAATCAAGCTTGACAATGTGCACAGTGTGCATACGGCGCGCTTCTCTGACTATTTCAACCCACCAGTCAGCATTATGGGATGGGATGGGATGATATGTTTTACGGAGCACACGCGGCCGAAGAGCAGGGAAAGCAAACATACCGATGGGATGGTACCGCTTCCAAGCCTTCTCGCTACAGACCAGATGGGTGACATCCCTGGAGACTTCCTTGACGAAGGTGCCGCCGGCATGCTCGACCCAGCCTTTGACTTTGCTGTCCTTGTCGCCTGGTAAGTCGCCCGTGGAAGCGAGGACGACCTTTCCGAACTTCTTTGGCATGATAGATGATGATGACGATGATGATGACGATGACAATCAGACGGAAAAGATCGGTGCAAGCCCTTAGCAAGAAATGATTCAGAGCATGACATAGATTCGTTGGAAGGTAGGAATAGGAAGCTCGAAAGGAACAGGAAGGGATGATCTGAGGATGAGATGGATAGGAAGACAATCGATCGAGGTAATGACAATAGATCGTTTATATAGTTCAGAGAGGCGATGATGGCGAGCACGTGCTAGACGGCAGTGATACAGAACCCATGTGCTGGCGAAATGTAGGGTGAGGCTGATGATGAGGTAAAACCCCAGTCGAGCACAGAGGACGAATACGAACGAGACTGGCGTGTGAACGAAATCATAGGAGACTAAGACACTCAAAGCAGATGGTGAAGGGCTTCAAGGTCACTCGAAGAGATATCTCAGAGTTCATGCACGGTGGATTCACAGAGTTGTAATATAACCATGTACCACTGTAAGGGACTGGCAGAGCACCGTGACTGTGGAGCAGACGTGCTCCTACGCGGGCCATGGGCTCAGCTTTTGACAGCCTTCACGAAAGCGCGTATCATATCCGCGTTTTGCTTCCCATCGACCTCCACTCCTGAGGAAACGTCCACGCCCACGATATTATTCCCCAAGTAGTCCTTGCCCATTTCCGCCAAGACCTTTTGTACATTGTCCGGGGTCAATCCGCCAGCGAGGATGACTTTGAGATTCTTATCTTTCCTGAAGAGACCTCTGACGGTTTCCATGTCAAGTTGCTGCCCGGACCCTCCCTTGCCAGCGTCCAGCAGCGGGATAGCGTGATAGCCCTTAGCATTAATTCCCATGTCTTCAGGCTTGAACGCCTTCAGGACGGGAACGGGAATTTGCCTTGCATACTCCAGCGGCTCTGAGCCGTGCAGTTGTACGATATCCAAGTTGAGTTTGTGGACTTGCTTGATGATGTGCGATAATGGAGCGTCAGCAAACACTCCAACTAGTTGGGCGCGATCAGGTCGGCGCAAAAGGTGGGAGGACGAGTGCGTGAAATAGTCTGTGCTGCCTAGGTCTTCGTCGATGTCTGACGGATAGGGTATAGTCGAGGGTCGAGGCGTGTTCTTGACAACCTGCGATATCTGTAGAGCTACATCATCTGTAATGTATCGTCTGCGGCCTGGCACGAGGATAATGCCAACCTGATCCGCTCCAGCTTCTATGGCTGCTTTGGCGCCTTCTGGAGTCCGGGTGCCACATATCTTGACGGACAGTTGCTGCTGTGTCTTTGTCCTGGGAGGGACATCCGGATCACCCACCAACTTTGTTATAAACTCCACTGTATTTTGTGCTCGCATGAGTGCTTCTCCGACAAGCACTGCTCTGACACCATCTTTCCGGTAGGCCTGGACATCTTGAGGGCCGAAGATCCCACTTAGAGCACAAACGATGGTCGACTTCGGGACCTGGTCCATCAACCGGCTTGTTGTGGCCAGATCAACTTCAAAGTTCGTCAGATTTCGGTTGTTCACGCCGATGACTTCGGCACCGAGCTCGACGGCGACTTTCATTTCTTCAGCGGTGTTGACCTCGACCAACGGCTCCATGCCCAGTGACCTGGAATAGTTATACAGCCTCGTCAAAGTCTGGACGTCGAGCATCTTGACAATCAGCAACACTGTATCGGCACCAGCCAAGCGCGCTTCGAGGATCTGATATTCGTCGAAAATGAATTCCTTCCTCAGTACGGCAGGTCGGTTGGGCATGCTATCGAGGGCCTGACGCACAAGCCGCATGTCTTCCAAACTGCCCTTGAACCACTCGGGCTCTGTTAGAACAGAGATGACGCTGGCACCAGCTGTGGCGTACTGCTGGGCTTGAGCTGGTGCGCATGTCCCAAGAGATATAATGCCTTTGGATGGAGAAGCGCGTTTGATCTCCGCCAAAAGGGCGATTGGGTAAGCGGACTGGCGAAGGCGCCTCGGGAAGGAGATCTGAGGAGGAGCAAGGCCGAGATCGTAGGCGTCTTGCAGATCTTCAGGTCTCTGGGAAGGGATGAGCTTTTGTGCAGCAACCGCCTGCCTACGGTGAGCGTAGATCTTCTCCAGGATGGATTCCTTCTTGGACGCCTGGCCACTGGCGCCGTTGACTTGCTTTTCCGGCGCAGAATATTCGGGATTTTCAGACCACTTCCCACCCTTCATTCGGAGGAAATTCTTGAACATGATTCGGCCGTTCTCGGTTAGGATACTCTCGGGGTGAAACTGAACACCTTCGACCACATATTCTTTGTGTCGCACACCCATGATGACTCCTTTGCCGCCATCAGGCCCTTTGGCTATCCAAGAAGATATCTCTAATGACTGAGGTAACGTCGGGTGTGTCCCGGCCAAGGAGTGGTACCTTGTGACGGGCAGATCTTGTGCAAGTGTGGTATAACAGCCCTTGCCGTCGTGTCTCAGTGGCGAAGTCTTCCCGTGTAGTATCTCGCCTGTGACATCAACTCTACCACCGAAGACTGAAATGATGCACTGCTGACCCATGCACACCCCCAATATAGGTATCTTGCCTGCAAAGTACTTGATAGCATCCTTGCTCACGCCAGCGTCTGCGTCTGGGTGACCTGGTCCGGGGCTGATGACCAGTTGGGTTGGCCTCTTGGCTATGAGTTCCTCAAGTGTGACTTTGTCGTTTCGGTAGACCGTGACTGTCGCGCCTTCGAGGACAAGATATTGGTACACGTTCCAGGTAAAGGAGTCATAATTGTCGATCAGCACGAGGTTGCTTGCGGTGGGCAGTTTGGCGGTCGGGGTTGGTTGGTGAGGAGAGTGGTCGATGAAATCAGAGGGCGCCATGTTTCAAGTGAGTGTGTTCAATTCCTCGTCTGCCAACATAGAGAAGAGAGGCAGCATAGTTGTGGGAGGTGGCCCAGATTTATTTACTGAACACCGCTTCCGCATCCTGCGTGCCCGCATGCGTTTGATGACCGCAGTTTATCCGAGCAATCATACGGTGGAGCATCATTAATCCACTTGAGCATAACGATGGGAGACGCTGAGGTCAGCTTGGGCTGCCTTGAACTCAGGTAGAACTCCACCAGAACTCCTTCAGAACTCTAGGTGAAGTCTGGCACGTAGGTGAGCTCCTATGTGAATCCTGCGTACGATGATGAGATCACACCGCGGAGACATGGCGAAGATCCGCTCTAGAAACCTTGCTGATTGTGGCCATGGCCTGGGTAACGTGGATGCGACAAGAAGGACGAGTCAACTTCTTCAGGACAAGAACCCAGAAGCACAGCGGTTGTTGTGACAGTATGTCCATCCTTGGAGCTCATTAATCCCACAGCTCCCTGCAGAGACTACCTGATTATTGCATCGGTTGAGAACAACAATCCGCCCGGCTGGTTGCGGAAGCTTGCCTGAGGCGCGCACATCCTTTTAAACCGCGAGCCTCAATGGCCAACTTCTTCAGCTTGCTCTAAGCTACCAATTTCTTGCCAGCAACAATCGATTCGATAAAGGAGTCAACCACGTCTAGAAACTTGTCCGGCTTCGAAGAGAATACCACATGTCCCGCGTCGAAGTACTCAAGCGTCGACCCCGGTATGCAACGCTGTGCTGCCACGCCAGCTGTCTTTGGAAAGATGGGGTCCCTTGTGCCCCAGATAAGTAAGACAGGAGCCTTAATATTAGTGGCACGAGGTCGAAGGTCGTGTTCCGGATGCAAGAAGCTTCGCCATAGCGCGGCCGCTGTCGAGGCACCATCCGCGGTTCCAGCTCTAGCAGCCGCTCGGCAAGTGATTTCCTCATCATGACTTGTCTGAGGGCTCATATACCTGCGGACAAGGTAAGGCATTATCAGGCGCGACACTGACGGTGAACCAAGCGGCTTTGTGAACAGCCGAGTGACGGGGGTCCATTCGACAAATCCACCGGTATTGACGAGGACCAGTCCTCGGACTTTGTCTGGCTGGTTTATTGCGAACCTGGCTGCAGCAAACCCTCCCACAGAATTGCCGATGAACATGGCAGATCCCAACTCCAAACCATCCACGACATCCTCAAGGACATCTGCAAACCCAACAGCGCTGAGGTATTCTTTGTTTGAAGTTCCCTTTGAGTCGCCATGCCAGGGCCAGTCGACAGTGATGGCCTTGTGTTTCTTTGCAAAATGCTCAGCGACAACCTCATAGTCTCGTCGGTCATGCAATGTTGCATGCAGCATGACTATTGGCACACCCTCTCCCCTGGCTTCGTACATGACCTCTCCCGCTCGAGTTGGCACCAGCGGCATCACTGTCAGACTGTCAGATCAAGACGGCGTGAAAAGCGCAGGGATAGCAAAGTTGTGAGATCCCTCCAGCACCGAAGGCCCGAGGAGTGCTTTATGCCAAATGCGAGACATGCGGAAAGTACCAACAGAGGCATACGGATCTGTACTTTCGTACGAACGGCCCAATCACGAAGTACCATGAATGGACGAACATCGGTCCGACGGGCAGACACCAAGCACATTGACCCGTCGAGAAGACGTCTTCCCATACTTACGAGGAGGTGCGGTAGTGACAGTGTTCTTGGTGGCGTCAATCCTGTTGCCGGCCTTAGTTGCATGTACGGGGCGCGCTACAAGTTCGCTTTTGCAGTTTCGGTTGGCTCCTTCGCAACGTTACACCGTTTTGCTATCGAAAGGCCTGCAAACGGATACTTCGAAGCGGAGCCTTGCCTTGTCTGTGATGCCCGAACTCAGGGAACGAGCGGCGTCGCCAAAGATGTAGTAAGTACTATTTCGGCTCCGGCTCCATGCCCAAGACTATTGCATCATTCGCCCTTCTCGCTGTATGTGTTATGGTCTCTCCCAGATCGCTGCTCTTGACGCCAGTTGTACTGTCACCTCCGATACCTCGATCTTTGTTACCTCGACGTGGAATCCCATGATTGTCTGAGTCCAGGTTGCAAGCCCTCCCGAGTCATCCGCAGACGCCAGAAGTCCAGGTACTAACTTGGACAAAAACTAGGGCAGTGGTACGAGCCATCTTGCCCAGCAGCATCCACGAACTCCGCTGGCACTGGCCGCACCCGTCGGACCCTTGTTCCGTCTCGTTTGCCTCCGCTTCATGCTGCGCCGTGCTGGTTGGTCTGCGCGTGCTTCTCAGACGTTAGCATCGTACCGGCTCTCAACGTGCCCATAGGTAGATGGCGGAGATCAGTCGCAGTAGTTGCCGAAGCACATCTTTATGGCATTTGAGAGCCGGTCTATGCGCTGTCGCGCTGAACCTTGAACCTGGTACACGAAACAGCGCGACGTAGTGGCCGGAATCTGATATCCTGCAAGGTAGGCACTGGAGCTTGTGGGGTGTGATCAGTCTCCATTTGTCTTCGCCGTAGGCAGGAAATATTGATTGTGATCTTGAACAAGGCCCGGTGTGTGGGAAGAATGCCTCCTCCGCCTCTTAACACAAGCTGTCCTTCAACCTGCCAATCGCGCTACATAAGCCACTCAAACCACGCATACACAGTACTCCGTACGCGCTACGCATATCAACCACGACCAGCGAGGCGCCAGGTGACATATTGTTGAAGATCGTCCGTGATTTCCAGGAGCTGTTGTTCGGGGGTGGGGGAAGCTTGTGAAGGAGCTCTCCTAGCCAGCTCAGGCTTTGTAAACATCAACCAAGCGAAGTCGAGACGCGGATGTATGCCTCCGGCTTGAACAACGATTTCGTACCATTCGCTGAGGTTCTTTACGTGTTTGTATTCCGGCACGGGTCTCTTCTAGGGTCATTCAAAATTTCAGTCTGAGATAGCTGGCACTTTCAGCGGCGTGGATTCCGTACTTGATGCTTTGTACATAGCGTGAGGGAGTGAGTGATGCGTTTGTCGACATTCTCCGTACATCCTGTGCTTACGGCGAGCCGATTCCGAGGTTAACCAAACTTTGCACGGTTCGGGGACCCCTGGCATTACAGTACGGTATCATTTCCTACGAAGTCGCCACGTATCCCTCGTCACCAGTTCTACAGTATACTGGACGCCCCTGAAGGATTGTCATTGCGCACGGGGACCCAAGACCAAGAGCGTTTCCGATTTCTGCAGCAATGGCACCCCGGCTGTACTGCTGTCTGGCATCCGGCAACTGCTACAAAATCCGGCTACTGGGCTCACTCCTCGACATTCAGATGGAAGAGGTGGAAGTCAACCTCTTCGCCAACGCACAGAAATCGCCCGACTTCCTGGCGATCAACCCCAAAGGAGAACTCCCCACGCTCGTGGACGGCGACAAGGTCTTCACGGACTCGAGCGCCATCATGGTCTACCTGGCCGGCACGCGGGCCGACCGAGGCTCACAGACGATGGCCCCCTCCAGCTACTGGTCGTCCGACGTGGTGGAGCAAGCGCAGATTGTGGACTGGTTGGCCTTTGCCGCCTGTGACATACACGTCGGCCTGGCCAAGGCGCGCGCCATCGTGGCGTTCGACTGGCCTGCGGGGACCAGCGAGGAGACTCTCGACGAGGCGAGACGCAAAGGCGTTGCGTCACTGCAGGTTCTGGAACAGAGGCTGCGCAGAGAAACCTGGTTGGCCGTGGGGAGACCGACGATTGCCGAAATCGCCGTCTACGTCTATGTCGCCCTGGCGCCCATGGGTGGCGTGTCGCTGGAGCCGTTTCCCGCGGTGAAGGCATGGCTGGCACGGGTGGCACAGCTGCCTGGTTACATTGGGCCTGATGGGTTGGACCAGCCGCTGCAAAAGCGGTAATACTCGTACGCGGCGGAAGGCACAGGGTGATGGATGTGGTGGGTGATCTACGTGTCAAGGCGTCTTCACGAGCCTATGTCCGCTGGCAAACCCAGCCATCATGATTGGTTACAGATGGGCGGAAGTGATAAAGGTGCTGTATGACCAAGCGCATCATATCCAAGGACTCGTACGTGAACACTGTCTTCAGACTAAGGTATTACCTGGGACTTCAACACTACGTACATAGCACAGAGTAGGCTCTGATGATTAGAAGACTATAGGAACAACATGCCTGTCACCTATAAATACCTACCTAGGTGATAGGTAGGCAACAAATGAACGACTCGAACATGACCCAATTAATGCACGTCTTGTCTTGGCAGCCACGCCAAAATCTCGAATGTGGGCTGCCTTGGCTGTGCTGTCTCTGGCCGAGTTGTGAACGTTGCCGTTGAAAATCTGGGTGAGGCCACGAGTCTCATCTCCTGAAGCGGGTTGGCTGGCATTGTGATCTCTCCACGCGGTATCTGTCTCCATCTCTGGATCTGAAATTCGTCGGCCACCATGGAGGAGACTTCATCACCGCCGCCGCCGCAGCCGCAGCGGCAGGCTCAAACTTTCCGCTCTACAGCCTCGAGCAACTGGCGGCTGAAGGACGAATCACCGCGGGCCGAACAACAGCACCAGACGCGTGCCCGGTACAACAGGGGCCAAGATGGTGGTGGTAATCCTCAGAATGGCCACGCTTCGCCGCATTCGCGCAACAGGGACGTGCATCAGACGAGCAGCGAAGAAGGAACGCCGGGCACGAGGCTCTACGTGGGCAATCTGCTCTACACCGCCCAGCGGCCCGACATCGAGGAGCTCTTCAAAAACTATGGGTTCAATGTTGTCGGCGTAAGCATGTCGACCGACCCCTTCACGGGCCGGAACCCCAGCTACTGCTTTGTGGATCTGGACAGTGCCGAGGAGGCGCAGCGCGCCATGAGCGAGCTGAACGGCGTCGAGGTGCTTGGCCGAGCCCTTCGAGTCAGCCCCGGTGTCGCGAAGCGCCACGGTCAAGCGGGCGGAGGCGGAGGCGGAAATGAAATGCGAATGAAAGACTATGAGAGGGGCCAAGGGCGGCCAAGAGGGGTTCGCGAGACGAGGGAACAGAAAGGTGAGTCGGCTTGCGCATGGCTGGTTTCCTATACGTTTCCTATACGTTTCCTTGTGCCCCCAAGGGCTCTGAGTTCTGTCCATCAGTTCACTGCGTTCTGTCCGTAAGAGCTCTGAGTTATGTCCTGAAGGGCCTGAGTTCTGTCCGTACTGATTATACCCCCTCTTGCCTCAGATGGAGAATACAACCCGACCTTCGACCGCTGGAACCGTGGCGACGCGCAGACGCACTGGACGGCACCCCAGTCCGAGGGTCGACGGCTGTACATTGGCAACATGCCTCGCATCGAACCACAGTCCGCGCATGACCAAGAGATCCAGGGGCTCTTCGCGCAGTACGCGCCCGGCATTGCTCTGGGCGCTGTCTCCAAGCAGATCTCGCCGCGGCCTGCACCCAATCCCGAGCACGGGAACAACCAATACTATTGCTTCGTCGACTTGGAGAAAGGCGAAGATGTCGACGCGGCGATCGAAGCGTTGGATGGGAAGCAAGGCAGCTGGGGCGGCAACGTCAGGGTCAACCGTGCCCGGAATTCCGACAGGAAGGTCGTCAAGGAGCAAGGCTCGCTCAACCAGGAAAGAAGGGTTCTGGGCGAGGGAAGCTGGAGGAGGGCGAGCGCACCCACGGAGGAACAATAGAGCGTTTTGTGTGTTCCAGCTCAGTCCAATTTACCGCCAGGGGCGACAAAATCTCCAGGCTTGTTGGAGAGAGAACCACACGGGAAAGGGCAAAATCAAAGTACACAGGCATCGTGGGACTGATGAAAACATGACACGACAGGTTACGAGCGACGGGACCCAGAACCGTTTTACGCGGACGGAGATGAGTACATTGAACGTAGCGCTCCTTCCCAAGGATGATGACCAAGCTGCTCGAAAACTGATCCCTTCCAACTGGATATCAGCCGACAGAGAGGGCCATATGCAAGATGCCAGATTTCACCGCGCGCAGCGAGTGCTTTGCTACTCCCCCTTCCTTCAATAACCCGCTTCTCCTTCGCTGAACTTTCTACGATGTCTTTGCAGTTAGCTTGACAGGGTAATCCGTGCTCTCGATCGCGTCTGGGTAGACGAGCCCGCCTTGCTTTCTGGCCTCGTCCATAATTTCCATGATCAAGGTCGATTCTGCCCATGGCAGGCCCTCGGATTCGAGCTTGCCTGCGACCAGGCAGTGAGCGGCTTCGTCGGCTTCGTACTGTACGAACATCAGTGGCTGACTCAAGGACAGGTTTCGAACTAGGTATAGAGTCTCATACGCACCGTCATGCCATGTGCACCACCTTCAAACTCAAAATGCCTATCCAGAATATCCGAGCCTTTATCCTTGGGCACCAATCTATATCTCGTCGGACGGTAGATAGGGCCATATACTTGTATCTCCCCCTTTTCGCCTTGGATTCGCACAGCGGGAGTCTCTATCTCTCCACTCCCTGCATGATTCCGCGCCGGGTCATCGCTGACGCGCATGGCGGTGGTGGCAACGGCGTGTGTCTTCGTCTTGCCCGTGGGAGTGGACTTGGGGAATTCGAGGAGCATCAGTGTTGACTCATCGGCACCGGTCCGTGGTTCCGGTGTCATTGCTGCGCCAACCATCCGTGGACGGGACTGCTGTTGCAGCTCCGCCGATAGTGTATGGTATACCGTCTGAAACACCCAGGTCAAGGCGTAGATGCCCAGGTCCAGAAGTGCGCCGCCGGCCAGATCGAGGTTCACCATGCGATGGCCGAGATCAAAATCCTTCTCGGGTACGGCGCCGATGCTCAAGTCGGAGGTGACGCGAATCACTTCACCAATGTCGTTGTCTGATATGTGTTTCCTGATAGCCTTGCTGAGAGGGAAGTATCTCGTCCAGACGGCCTCCATGAAGAACAGATTCTTCTCCTTCGCAGTCTTGTACAGGATCTTTGCCTGTGCGGCATTGACTGTCAGGGCCTTTTCGCAAAGTACGGGCTTATTGTGGCTGAGGCAGAGCATGGCATTTTGGTAGTGATGAGAGTGTGGCGAGCCGATATAGATGATGTCGACGCTGGAGTCTTTCACCAGTTCCTCGTAGGAGCCATAGACGGCAGATTTGGCGGACTGAGAAGGGGCGACGAAGTTGGCGACGAATTTTTCTGCCGACGAGACGGACGAAGACGAAGCTACCGCCGTCACAACATGGCGAATGTCGGTGACTCCTCGCGTAGCGGGATCGAGGAGGATATCCTTCACAAACGTTTGGGCTATCCACCCTGTGGCTGTAGAGCTCCTCGTTAGTATGCGGTCGAGATGGCCCTCACATCTCACGTACCCATGATGCCCCAACGGATCTCCCGGGGAGACGACATTGTAGCGAGAATGGTGGAACGGCGATCTCAGAGGTTAGAAGGCAAGTTGAAGAAGGGCAAGGTCAATGACACAAGGAGAAAGCCAAACCAACGAGTGCTGGCGGCATTGGGAAAAAACATCGCGGAGAGCGTCTTTTGTACCTGGAGACGCGGGGCAACGTCATGCACGCGACCCGCTCAAGTCGGCAGCCAACCCGATGAGAGATACGCGATCGAATCAGCCTGAATACTGTGCGAGTACTTGCAACAGTGTCAACCTGCCTTCATAGCCGACGTTGTGCCGCAAGCCTCGAGGGTGCCACTCGACCTCTCCAAGAATCGCAAGGCGTCGCAGTTCCTGCATTGTCGTCAGGTCGGGGTCCAGCCCGGTCGAGCAAATGTTCTTCACGGGGGTTGGCTAGGTGGCATTGCTGCTAAATTAGTCGATTCAACCCTGCTGCGCCGGTAAGCTTCCTGTCGTCGAGATCCCGCCGGCACCGACTTGCAGGGGTCGCGAGCTCGCATTTTGTCAATTAGATTTTGTATTCGTGTGGAGGCGGACGCCGGCTATGTACTCAACGTCAGAAGCTTTTCGCATGCATGCCACTCACCAGTCCCGGGTTGCAAGTGGTAATTCCACAAATCGTACACGTTTGCAAAATGGCATGGGTTTTTTGAGGAGTTCCTTGTGAGTGACATCCCATCCTCCCTCTGATGTCGTAGAAGCCCGATGCAATCATCAAACGTCGACCCCTCCAGATGTTTGGGCCGCCTACCGCAAGCCGAGTTTGCCCAAGATGCTGCCGCCGGATGCAGTGGCCTTGGAATCACCGAACACGCCAAGAATGCTCTTCCAAACATGCTCCGGGTCTTGACTGGCATCAACGCCGGACCAGATCCCCTTGTTCTTGTAATATGCCACGACAGGAGCCGTCTGTGCGTGGTACGTGCCCAGCCTCTTCTTAAGAGTGTCGGCATTGTCGTCGGTTCGTTGAATCAGAGGTTCTCCAGTGACATCGTCTTTCATGGCGTCTTTGGGTGGGTTGAAGACTTTGTGGTACGTTCGGCCCGAGGCAGGGTGGATCAGTCGGCCAGTGATACGGGAAACGAGGAGGCCATCGTCAATTTGCAGTTCGACTGCATGTTTGAGGGGCTTGCTCTCCGCCTCGAGCATCGAGTCGAGGCCTTCGGCTTGAGCGACCGTGCGAGGGAACCCGTCAAGAATGAAGCTGGCGCTGTTAGCGATGACCAGACACGTGCCACGCTGCATCCTACCCATTCGCGCATTCCCTGTTTGTGTCCAGCTCGTTCTTGATCATGTTGATCATGATGTCGTCGCTGACGAGACCGCCTTGATCCATGATCTTCTTCGCTTCCTTCCCCAAGGGCGTCTTTTTGGCGACTTGCGCCCGGAGCATGTCCCCGGTAGCCTAAAATCGGCGTAAATAGGTAGTCGAGGGCGGCGAGTACGTGATCAACATACCAAATGACAGACGCAGTACTTCTCTTTAATTCGAGGAGCTTGCGTTCCCTTGCCTGTGAAAATCAGCTTAGTAAACGCGTGCAGTGTGAGCATGGCGGGAAGCTCACCAGCGCCAGGCGGACCGATGAGAATCATGCGCATCGACTCTGTGATCGAGGGTTTCTTCTCCCCTTCTAATCGTCTTTCCAGCGACCAAACTCGAGCTTCGAGCTTGTGGACCAGGTCCTTCAGGTCCTCGACATGTTGATCTGTGATGGGGGCCATGGTGGTGGTTGGGCAGGGGAAACGGGACCTGACCAAGGTCGAGAAGACAACGTAGAGCTAGAGAGTCGGTCTGGTGTCTGTTGGATTTTATGTGAGGGATCAGGAGGAAAGGAACGAGCCTACGACACCGAGAAAACTGCGGCAGAAACTTGGTGCTACAGCGAGCTCCAGGTCAGAGAGTGAGCAAATGCTCCGCTTCCCCGAAGCTGCGGCTGCCCTGAGCTGTGAGCTGCAGCGAGCTCCACGCCTGCCAAGAGGTCACGTTTCGGCTCAGCACACCAGCACGACGAGGACGAGTACCTATTGTAGCAGAACCAGCCGCGGTCATTTAGGGCAGTGGGCGCAGTCTCACCTAGGCGCACGTCACCCATAAACTCGTTGCCCTAGGTTTGCTACTCCTCCGCCCGGCCTCTTCCGGTCTCTGCTTCTCGCTTGAGTCCATTTTCCATGTCGAGGACCCTCACACAAGTGACACACTAGAACCTGAGCCGTCTTCTTCTCCAGGTGTTGACGACCAGAATTGATCAGAGGCATTCCGCAGTTTGGCTATCATCCTCAAGGGCGCAGGTGTGTCTACCTATGTAGGTGCTGAGGAAATCCGGCATGCTACATAATTCAGAACCAGGAGCCTATTACCCTGGACCAGCCCGGGGATCTTAGTTAGAAAACCGTTTACGCAAGTCATTAGAGATCGTGAAAAGCATACGAAGCCATGGTCACCGTCTACGCCAGGTCTCCGAGATCATGCAACAATCTCGTGCGCAATATGACCGTGGTAGCAGTTGGCAAGCCCTCGCGACTGATATGAACAGACTTAGGATCCAATGTCACCGACTTCTGTCGCGTATTTCTCCGGCCTTTGCTCTGGGTAAGACATACCAACCACAGTACTCCGAAGACGATGTATACCGTCAACAACCTGGGACCAAGACCACCGTCGGTGTCGTCCAAGCAATTGCCGCTGATCAAGCGGATGCAAACGCTACGGAGCAGAAAACAAGGAGTCGCCCGATGCAGAACCCCAACCAGAAGAAATGGTCCGACCGGAGGGTGTCGAAGGTTTTCTGGAAACTTGGAGGATTCTCTGAACGTGCTGCCCAATAACCCTTGACATAGTTGTTGACATGTCTGTGGCGCAAGGGTGTGTTCATATGATTACCTCGAAACTCGACAATCCTGTAAAATGCTTGTTGTGCGATTTCCTGCCTCAGGCTGCTGGCATAGCAGTTCCCGGCCACCCACTCATTGCGCTCGAAGGCGCTGCGACGGTGCCAGCTTTGGATATGGGTGGTTTTAGCCAGTCCAGTAATCGTTCCTGTTCGAACGGTAATCTGTCCTGATGACAGTACAAATGCAGCACGCAAGAAGAATAGAGGCTGCAGGACGCCTGCAATATCAGTGCAGCAAGTGCCAGGTGGGCTTTGCGGCAAGAGAACTTCCATCTATCGTCCAATCCCAGCCCTGGACCTGTGAAGGAAATCCGGCTGCCCTGTCGAGCGCCTTGAAAGGCCTTGACATGGGGTGAGGAGTTCATTCTGGCAATTGTTGACTTGACGGTGTTTGTAGGACCTTGGCTACGGTTTCACCACCGTACGGCAAGAAGGGATCGGCTGAAGCGCCATAAATTGGGCAGCCTCGACCGTCAGATCCTGGCAGCCCTGAGTGAATCCCGAGACTAAACAGGCAGAAGTCGTGGATCCGGGGCAGCAGCGCTGTTTCCAAGTCGGGGAAAGGTGAAATGGCTTATCTTGTCGAATTCAGGAGCTTTGTCATGAGTCCAGACACCGACGGATCTGTGGCCAACTGGGAACGTTCCAAATCCTCGAGAGTCAATCACAACCTCCTTGTCGTCCCAACCGAGGACATCCCTCCACTTCTCACCGATGTGTCTGTGACCGACAAACATCCTCTTCGATTGTCTGTCCCAGCTATTGGTCATGACGACAGCGAGACCAGCGCCATTTGACCTCGACTTGTGCCCGAGCCTTGTCCAGCCAACGCAATCGCTCCTGTCAAAGTACTCCCTTTGCGGACCATATGCATAGAGCTTGCGCGCGACAATCATTCGTGCGAGTTTCCCACCACAGGCTGGAAGACGAGGTCGGGGGCCATGGTTTCCAAATACATCTCCCCAAAAGATGCAGGGAGTTCCGCCGTGCTCTCGAAGCAAGATCAGCGCGTAAGCCAGGGGAATGAACCACTCCTCCACAGGCGCTGCCAAAGCCTGTGTTTCTTGCGTGTCGTGATTGGCGACGAAGGTCTGTCAAGTTGGCGTATATCAGCCGCGGCATTCAAGGAACTGGTGATCATCAAGGAGGACTTACCACAGCATGGGCATGATCCCTTTGAACCAAAGTCCCATCAAGTATGGTCCTTAGATCGTGTTTTCGGCCTTTTGAGAAATCGCTGAAGGTATACACCAATTGGACGTCGAAAAGGTGAAGTCTTCCATGGAATTTTTTGATCACCTTCTCCAGGACGTCAGTATCGGCATCCCAGTACTCTCCAACATAGAATAGCTTGCTGCCCTCGGGCATGGTTGCATCGAGATGAGCGATAAAGTCGGCAAGAAATGAGAGAGAGTAATGCTTGATCGCATCCAACCGCATGCCGCCGAGATTCAGCATGGACGTGATCCAACCTCCCCAGTTGAAAATGTCGGTCCGCACAGCGGGGTGCGAGTGATCGAGATCAGCGAACATCCTATACGAAATAAAAAGCGCGTGAGTAACTGCAAGAAGGAAGTTTCCTGCAACACGACAGTGGCTCGATCAATCGCTTACAGGTAGTCATAATTACCAAGCTCCTTGCTCACGTCGTGGGCCCAGTCGCTCCGTTTGCCCTCTCCGATAAATTTGAAGATACCATGCTCCTTCTTGCGGGAGTCATAGTCGACTCCGGAGAAATGTGTCCAGTTGTACTTCATGTCTGAGTACTTCGTGCCGCGGCCGGGGAAGGTGAATTTCGTCCACGTCTCGAGCTCGTGCACTTTCGAAAGAACCTTCGTCCGGTCTATGAGACAGTGTACAAGATCAGCATTGGCCTTCTTCACCGGGCTTCGGTTTGCAACGCACCTTTGGGGTCTACTTTTACTCCCCAGCTTGTTTCTTTTGCATCCGCGGCAGCTTTGTGGTTGAGCACAGCATCCCACAAAATGCCTATGCCGAGTCCGTTTGCTTTGGCACAGAGGCTCTCCAGCTCCACTCTACTCCCCCATCGGGTCCTCGAAGGCTTACCGTCGTTCTTCGCGTCGAATTCGCCAAGGTCCCAAAGGTCATAAATGCCATAACCAACGTCTTGAACAGAGGTGGCTTTGCAGCCTGGCGGGATCCAGATGTGTGAAACTCCCATGGCGCAGAGATGTGGTAATATAGACGCGAGAACGGCGTAGTAGCTTGTGCCGGGAATGCTGCTGTCGCTCACCGGACCGGGCAGGTACCACTCAAAAGCCTGAAATATCGTTCTGTTCTCGTCCAGGTCTCCCGGTGCTTGAGAGGTCAGCCCGCTTCATCCATCCTCGGATCCACCTCGCCTGAGAGGTTCACTTGCCACGGCGAGCAGAGCAATCAGGGAGCAATGTGGGAGAGGATCCAGCTGGCCCATCTTCCTACCTTCTGATACAGGAGGCTTTTCACCGCCACTTAAAGACCTCACCAAAGATGAAAGACGCTGCATAGCGACAATAGCCTCAGGGAGGAGGTCCGCTAAAATTCGCCAGCGAGATGCCTGTAATTAAGACGATGATGTCACTGAGTCGGACTGAAATTTCATGAGTAGACCAGAACGCGAGCGGGATGATTCCAAGAATTCGTGAAAAATATGAGAAAGGAAGAAGACAGAGGGCGAGCAGCAGAGATCAATCACGAGTGAGCGTGAAATGTTGAATCTCACGTTGTGAGAGCAAACACGATGTGGATTGGCTTCGGTGGAGCCTGACAAGCATTGAAAGCGGGTTCATTTGAGACCGAGTGAACCTGAATACGTACTTACTGTACGACTGAAGGAGGACAGACGAATCCCTGCCCGACCTCATTCACCCTGCACCAGTATAATAGCACCGTCTCTGATCAAACATGAATATGGAGAGACTAAAGTTGAAATTGATCGCTATTGAATTTTGTTCAGAAGCCTCACATCTGCAAGACCTGCCACTCCTCATACAGTTGCCTGGGAAGCCGAGTTGACAAGCTCAGCTGTCCATCTGGCCGCTGCCAGAACATTCACGGAAGCCTTTCGATGTTACCAGATCTAGAACTGATATTTGAACTCTGGTGACCGGTCGGTGAACTCTCCCTGCGGAGTAACCACACCCTGGGCACGAAGCTCGGCTTTCTTGTTTTCACGTTTCTGGTAGAGGACTCGGAGAATGAAGAAGATGATGAATGCGAAGGCCAAGCTTCCCAGCGACCAGGAGTGGCCCAGCACGAAACGTGGCGCATCGGTCGAGGCATAGATTTGGCCAGAAATGATACCACCCAGATTGGTGAGTGTGAGTTGGGTCCCTAATTGGTTGTCAGCTGATATATGGAGAGGCAGAAGATATTCACTTACCCAAGCTGGCGGCCCTCTTGCCATCGGGTGCGACATTCCCGGATAGCCAGGCAATGTTACCGCCGGTGCAAAGGAAGCAGGCCGTGGCGATCAGATAAGTCGCAAAGTATTGCACTCCAACTGACACATTTTCCATCTTCAGAAGGATGGCATATCCTGCAATTCCAATGGGAGCACAGACGACCATGATCACGAACCGTTTGTTGTATTTGTCCGAGATCACGGCTCCGATAGCGTAAACAATCGCGCCCCAGATGTTGACGGGGATCACAAGATATTGCGCTTGCTTGGTTGTGTAGTGTAACCCGTTTTTGATAATGATGGGCAGGAAGGTCCCGAAGCCGTAGAGGATGGTCACCACGGCGATCTGGCTAACCCCGTGCAACCACGTCTTGGTGTCCTTCCAAGCAAGCTTGAGGTCAGACATCTTGTAGTGGCCGTCACCTCCAGAGTAGGACTCGGACAACTCAGCGCGGACAGCCATGATCTTTTTGTCCTCGTCGTTGAGGAAGTACGCCGTCTGATAGTTTTTGGGAACAAGGTAGAAGCACATAGCCGCCCACACGAGAGTAATGAGTCCTTCCAGGATGTACAGCCATCGCCAACCTGGATAATTGGCAACTCCATCCATGTAAAGGATTCCAAAGGCGATGAGCCCGCCGAAAGCGCCGGATAGGGCAGACGCAACTGCAACATGTCAGCATGGGAGACCCTCAAGAGCATCATAGTACGTACTGAAGAGATAAGAGATTCTCTGAGCCAATTCTTCTCTCCTATACCAGTTCGCCAAGAACAAAGTCATAGAAGGGAACAGACACCTGAGGTGAAGCGAGTCAGTCCCTGTTTCTGGTCATGCACACTGACAACTTACCCTTCAAACCAGCCTAGCAGAACTCTGCAGACGCAAAGGCCGGCGAAGTTCTGGATGAAACCCATGCACATACAAACAAGTCCCCAGCAAAAAGTGATGATAGGGATGACTCGGTGGAATTGCAACCGCTTGACATATAGTGACGTCGGCAATTCTGCCACCACGTATGTACAGTAGAATATCGAGACGGCGGTCTGTGGTCTCAGGAGTTAGTTACTTCTGTAGACTGCAAGAAGGGAGAAAACTTGCGTTGAGCTGGTTCCCCTTCAGACCGATATCGTCAGTCATGCCTTGTGTCGCAGCGAAACCGATACTGCTCTGTTTTTAGCCTCTGTGAACCCAGAACGGACCGATATTTTGAGAGCTCGTTGAGGTCACAACTCAGCTTCAGGAACACTCACTTTCCACGATCAAGGTAGCTGATGAGCATGAGGATCATCATCACCGGCGCAATGTAAAGATCAAGCTTGCGCCGCAACTTGGCTTCTTTTGCCGCAAATTCGATTGCCTCTGGTGAATTGGCATTCTCAGCATATTCCTGGAGCTCAGCTTTTTGCTTTATTTCATCGATGGGCTGCTCCATCGCGGTCTCTTGATTCTTCTCCATGGTCGGGCGTCAGATGTGCTTAGAGATACAAGAACACAATCTGTGTGCACGGTAAAAGTAGTATGGTCTTGAAGCTCTCCTTATGATTCTTCGGCCAGAATTGGGGTATCAGGCCTAGAATCAAACCACGTGGGGAAGTTCCATGCACAAATCTTCGCGAGGTGGATATACTGGGTATCCAGCTCAGTCAGATGTGTGGAGTGTGATGCTGATACCGTGACGGAGGAATGAGCACCGCGGAATTGCAACCAGGCCAAATTCCGGAAACGAGTCTCGAAGGATGCGGGCAAGAGAAGGATTTCATAGCCTTCTATCTGACAGCCAAGCCGGGGGGCGTCCATGGCTTTCAGATCGTCCCCTGGCACCATTGGTGGATGATACCGGCAGTCAGATGCATTAAACCTTGAAGAGGACAAGCTCAGCATGCAGACCCTGGGCGACCGGTCATGCCGGCAATTGCTAAAAGCGTTGAGCATCGAAAGAGCAACACGGAACCGCAGCGGGGCCCGTCCGATGGAGCTCACCAAGAAAACCTGGCAAGCCTGGCTCGTCTGGTTGCCTGCACAGACTGATTGGGGTTTCTCCAATTGATATCTGTTTATCATTGGAGAAAGTGACCCAAGCCTTTGGTACGCGGCTTTCCCTGCAAGGCACCGCCATTCGAGCTCTTTTGCCACAGCACGTATCGTACTCCCTACTCCGTATATCCAGGTTGAATGCAGATTGTGACAGCCCGGACAGCCCGGACAGCCCGGAAGTTGACGTGATCAAGAACAGCGACAGCCGTCACCACTCAGCCTCGTGGAGTGTTGGCTAGTCGCTCCGCCAGGATGGGCGCGGCAACGTTGGATGTGTGCAAACTGAGCTGAGTGGCAATCTCCAGAACTTCCATGATTTCTTCTGGTGTGCCTCCGTATTTCAGGACGTTCTTCATGTGTAACTTGAGCCCCGGGACGTAGAGATGCGTGGCGGCCGCGTCGAATGCACAATACACCAACTCCTTCACCTACAACATCTGTCAGTGGGAAGAATATGGCAAGGCGTCAGAGTAGCACACACCTTGGGTTCGAGGACCCCGCCACCCCTGCCTGAGCCATCCACATCCTTCAGCCATGGAACAGAGGAAAAGTTGAGGTAGGCTTCAAAAAATTCTGGGTCGAGTGCCAAAAAGTCCTCCCAGAAGCTGTGCCAATATCCTCTATTCTTGGTGAAGTCTGCCTTCAGTTTCTCTCTTTGTGTATCAAAAGGTTTGCCCGCCGTAGGATGTTTCTCATAGATGCCCTCCTCTTTCATCACCTCCACAAGGAGTGGCACCCCAATATTACACGCATGGATCCCCAGTGTCCCGGTCAGTTCAATGACCTCTATTATCTCTGCCGGCGTTGCTCCCTCTTTCAAGGCAGCATCGATATGCTTCCGGACCCCCGGCGCGTACAGATGGGTCGAGGCGGCATCGACGGCGATGGACATGAGCTGCTGGATCTTGGGAGATAGGTGGCGCTTCTTTCTCGGGACAGCAATGAGATCTACGCTCGCCGTGAAGAGCTCTGGGCTGAGCTGTGCGATGCTTTCCCAAGAGTCATCCCACTGCTCGTCCCCTAACTTAGAGACAAACTGCGCCTTCAGTGCAGCGGGATCATTCGGTGGCGCCATTGTCGTGTTCAGGGCGTCGTGATTTTGCTATGCAAAAGTAGACCACACCCGCCATACTAATCAAGCAAGGACATCCCGAGGTTAACACACGCTGCTATATGAAAGCGGTGGTGTGTCCTTCGACACTGACTCTGACCAGGATGGAATTGGAGTATCGCAGCGGGCTCAATACGAGAAAATCAAGTGTGGGGAAGCAAATGGTTTCCATTTCAAGCATGTCAAGATTCAACCTCCACTCCTTACAATCAGTCTGTATCGAGTCGGGCTTGGGACGAACCTTATCATTCGGATAACTCCAGCACCACTGGACGTGGCAGCGCCAGTGTACTGTAAATGCGCCTTTCACATCGTCAACGCTGCCTTCCGTGCCCAAGCTACTTCGAGGGATTGCCAGACTCGCAATATGCCACAACGCGGTTCGCAGGCGTTCTGTCCTGGGTATAATCATGCTGCTGAAGACATTTCATAAAGACTCAAGAGCTGCCAAAGAACCTCGAACGGTTCTTCGGGTCCTCTTCCCATTCGAAATCGTGTGCAAAGATGACCTCAACGCCGCTCTTCTCCAACGCTTGGATTCTCTCGATTGTCTGCTCCGCCAGTTTCTTGTCGGCATGGATGCAACAAATGTGTCCGTGTTCATCCAGCCATTCGCCGATTTGCCTTTCATTGCGCATGATCCTCCTGTCATGGCACGCATCTCCGGCCAGATAGACACTGGTCGAAGGACTGGTCCTCGCAAGCAGATTGATGTGTCCAGGTAGATGACCTGGCGAATCGACAATCAAGAGACTGCCGTCGTTGAAAATGTCGAGAACTCGCGGTAGATTCCCTGAAGCCTTCCATTCTTGGATGAAATCTGGAGCATTCGGATCGAGAATCTGGTGCTTGGTTTCTTCGTCGATGTCTTCGTAAGGGTTCGAGAGCTCGATGGTTCTGTCCGTCGGCAGCAGATCAGACTCGAAAAATGAATGGCTTCCTCGCAGCGACCCCCCTCCGTGCAAAAGAGCCTTCGCGCCGTTACCGATTACAAACGTGCTCTTGGGGAAGTCCCGAGGCTCGCCGACGTGATCCCAGTGCACCTTGAGCTACTCGTCAACACCGCCTTCGTGGATCGTGCCGGCTACTTACGTGGGAATAGATGACGTAGTCAATGTCGTCCGGTGTCAACCCACCCGCAGCCAGACTCGCCGTCACATCCGGCAGGGTCACCATGGGCTGTCTCGTTTCCACATGTTTCTGGATAGGTGGCGAATACCTCTTGATATCACGGCGAAGACCAAGATCAAATACTATCCTTGTCTTGCGATCGGTCTCTTGGTCTCGGTGGACAACCAGAAACGACAAGGACGGAACTGTCCTTCGGGCGGTTTGAGACGCCGGGTGAACAAAGAACCGTTCGGGGAGTGAGAAGTGTCCCCCTGAGAGCGCGTAGACCTCAACGGTGGCTTCGGACGGGCTCTCTGGCGGTGACGGGGGAGTTTGCTGGGGATAGACCGAAGCCATGCCGCCGCTCTAGGTGAGGTGAGGTTATGGTATGCACACACCAGTCGTCTTGGACATGACTGAGGACAGTCCCAGGCTTTAGAAAGGTCGATATTGATCGCAGGATCGGATTCCAAGCCGGTCCCACTTCATGGAGGCTGGCCGTTGGGGTAAGAAACATGACCAGAAGCAGTTTCATGTTCGACTTTTCCTTTTCGCGCTTCTCCAATAAGATGTGCAAGTCGTGGGCGAACGTCGAGGGATGGCTCCCACGTTCCACATGGCCAGATCTAGGGCGAGGACTAAAACTCGGCAGGTCGAGTCGGCGGCGACCCTGCGTCTGCAGCCCCCATTGGGAGTACTTGTACGAGTACTCCGTACTACGAATGTAGATCTCTCGGGACGAGGTAACAGTACATGTCACTTGGGCTGGCGGTAGAGATAGTCAGGACCGGTGTGGGAGAAGTTACCTGACCATCAGTGTCCCCAGCCACGCACGAAGTCTACTTTCGCTATTCAAAGTGTGCAGGGCCACGAGGCAGCTCACGCTCTGTAACCCGTTCCTGGCAGGGATCCTCCCTCAAGCCCACCTGTCTGGAAAAGCCCACTGTCTGGCAAAGCCCGCCTGGAGGTTGTGCAAGCCACCGGAGGAGTTTGCCCAATCGCTTCGGCAAATCACCTTCTCGGTGCTTAGGGCTGCCCGGAGTCCCCAGAAGAACCTAATGAGCCCCGCACAGAGTCTTCGCTTGGCCGCGCAGCCCCATGAATTCCAAGTCTCAACTGTCAGGTGCGCTTCGAACCCTGCACATGCACCCTTACGCTGCCCTCAAGCCTCCGCAGAATCCCCAGAGAATCCCACGAGCTACAATCAGATTTCTGTCCAGCTACCGCATTGGGCCTCCCCAGATCGCTGTCGAGTCTAGAATCCGTCGGTCTCTTGTGACACAATGCCAGAGCATTGAGCTCCTATGCCCTCAATGACACAGGACAGCTTTAATGTGGATATCAATGGTCATGAGCTGGAGGAAGACGACCGCAGCCAGGAGCCGCCTCCAAAGAAGCCGAAGAGATTCCAGTGCAAGCATTGTCAACGACTCTTTGCGCGTCTAGAGCATCTTCAACGGCATGAACGGACTCGTATGATCGTGCACACGCTGTATCTTCGCGTACGCTGTTCTGACTGATCCTCAGATACCCGAGAGAAGCCCTTCGCCTGTAACCAATGCGATAGCAAATTTACTCGAAGGTACGGTGACGATGTGAGCCCGCTCACTGCTGATACTGACCAAAGTCAAAGTGACCTTCTAGTCCGACACGAGAGACTCAGTCACGACACTGAGCGATGGTCGAGAAATGGACGGAATGGCCAGGGAAATGGTGGCGCCGCCGCCATCTCATCGTCCGCGCGGGTGCGCCAGAACAGCAGCGGCAGCATGGGCTTGGATCTTCCCGACGCTCCTGACCTGAGCGCGACCGAGTTCAGTAATTCTCAGAACCTTGTCCCTGGCTATATGCCTGCAAACACGAACCAGACCACGGGCAGCACGCCCAATGGCCACGATCTGTCGTTTGCGACCTTGCTCATGGCCGCTGAGCATGCGCGGCCTCAAGAACCCCCAGCTCATGTCGCGCTCCAGCAACCAGCCCACCTCTCGACACCGATGTTCCCCGTTCAAGACCAATTTCTGTCCAGCGCCACTCCTCAGACGTCGATGCAAGCACCGGTGGATCAACTGAACGGGATTGTTGGGTTCGACTTTGAGGACTCGCTGCAAGACCTTGCCAACTTCATGGACAATGGCGCACTGTCGTCGTATCACTTCTCATCCATGATTAGCGCT